CAATATGACTTTTTAATAACACCTACAGCCAGAAATTGGTGATAGTGTTGGCAGGGGAAGAACTGCAGATATTTTAAGGTCAGAAAGAACACAAGGAATTAAAGCAGGAGGAGATGATGGTGGCACCAAGGAGAGGAGGGAGATAAATGTCCAGCCCGGGAAAGAAGAACGACAAATTTCATTCTGGCGAAGAACTCCAGATGTCTCCTGTCTTCCTCCTAGCTTAATGTGCTTCACCTCTCCGGATAGTCCTCCAATAAAAAAAGTAGTATCACAAGCCAAAAAGAGAAAAAGGCACCAAGAGTCAATTATGGCCGGGAGGGCCATGGTGAGGAACGCGGGGGTCATACAACATGAGTTGACTAGATGACCAGCAGCAAAGCAACCCCGAAAAGCTGCGCTGACTGACAGGAAACACAGACTGACCAGTGATCCGAGAAAATGCCAAGTGCGGAATCAGCCATCCAACGGGATAACCTAATCACATTGATCAGCTTGCTGTGCTCACCCATTTCTCAGCTCCATGTGGGTTTTTCACTGTTTCCTGGACTTTACTTCCACCCCCCTGCCAATGCCACCCCCCCCCCACCGCCTTGATGCTCAGAGAGCATTTCCTCCACTAAAGTTTCCTTCCCGCCGAGTTACACTCCAGCTGCTCTCTACTCCCATAGGTCAGAGCACGCCCCGGGCACGTCTCCCATTCGCCACCCCACTGTCAACTGTACCTACACCACAACACCTGAAATCTAGGGCCTGTTCCTTGCGCACGTAACTAGCCCCTATTTTATCGTGTGTCTGAGTACCTAAAGCTCTGAGTCCCCGTCACACACGTGAACATCAGTTAAGAGTTGGGGGTGGGGACGCGCAGAAAGGGAGTGAGCTCAGCTGCATTAGATCAGGAAGCTCAAAGGCCAACAATAGGAATTTGATTTCAGGTAGTCAGTTTCATAAAGGTGCAAAGTTGTGTCCTCAGGCTCAAAGCAGAAAGGCCCCACAGCAGCATTCATCTGTCTCAACCTCTGGGAACACATCCCCAAGTGCATGATGGGGTCTCACCACCAAGAATAGGACACCTTGTTACATTATTACTATAGTTACAATAGAAGTGAGTTATATTCTGAAATCCCAGCTAAGGAGCCTCTTACAGCTGAAAAGAAAGACTCTACTGTGCATGTATTTCTAATTCCTATATGTCGTATCTAAATTACACAATCCAGACTTTCCATTAATTCAGAATGGCCTTCATGATAGGTTTCTATGAAGTAACCATTTCTCCTCATTCCATAGCTGTCCATGAAACTTACCATGCTAGTAAGGTGGCATGAGAAAATGATCTTCTTGCTTGAATAGAGATGTTATTGTTACACTAGATGCAAAATATGTTTCTTTTGTTAAACTATGAGGATAAGCTTCTGGAAGGTTTACTAGTAGGGAAAGGATGGTCTTCTGTGACAAAACAATCCTAAGAAAGGAGAAAACCAAATAGCTCTCTCTTCTGTAAACAGAGTAGAGGTGTTCCTGGAGTACTTATAATAATAAGTCACTAAGTTTTCCAGCAGACCATTCAACTCTGGAACAGAAGACACATTTCCCAATACATAAAAGGATCTAAATCTTTCATACACCCTCTGTGAGGCTAACCTTAAATATAAAAGCTACCTACACACAGGATGTTTCTTCCTTCTACTCAAACTATGCCATCAAGAAGAAAGCACAGGGTGCCTGGGTGGCTCACTTGGTTAAGTGACTGCCTTCGGCTCAGGTCATGATCCTGGAGTCCCGGGATCGAGTCCCACATCGGGCTTCCTGCTGGGCAGGGAGTCTGCTTCTCCATCTCATTCTCTCTCTCAAATAACTAAATAAAATATTTAAAAAAAGAAGAAGAAAGCACAATAGTGGGGAAGGCATCAAGTATAAAGCTAGCTAGCGTTTACTGAGGGCTTACATTGTGCCAGCTACCATGGATTACTTCTTTTAATCCTAACAACCACATTATGATGTACACCAACTCCCATTTTATAAGCGAGGAAGCAAATTTTGAGTAACCAAAGTCAGCAGCTACAAAAAGTGGCAAAACTACAACTGTAACCCTGGTTACAGGATTCTGGTCCACAACCACACATCTACACAAGTATGTTTGCCAAAATATGGATCAGCAGCACATTGGGAGGTAACAAGGATGCAAGGCTGTCCCACATCATGGACAAATTAGAGGGAATCAAGGGAAAGCTCACGGCATAATGTAACCACTGTCTACACCTTTAAAAAGTTTAAATTACTTGAAAATAAGATCAGAAGGCAAATCACAAAATACAGTTGACCCTTGAACAGTGTGAGGGTCAGGGGCACCAACCATATATAAGTTTTGACTCCCCAAAAACTTAACTGCTAGTAGCCAACTGTTGACCAGAAGCCTTATTGATAGTATTTTGTTTGTTGTAATACATACTGTATTCCTATAATAAAGGAAACTAGAGAAAAAATTCTTAAGAAAATCACAAGGAAGGGACGCCTGGGTGACTCAGTCGGTTAAGCGTCCACCCTCGGCTTAGGTCATGATCCCAGAGGTCCTGAGATCGAGTCTCGCATCAGGCTCCCTGCTCAGCGTGGAGCCTGCTTCTCCCTCTGCCTGCCGCTCCCCCTGCTTGTGCTGACAAAGAAAATCTTAAAAAAAAAAAAAAAATCACAAGGAAGCACAAATACATTTACAGTACTATTAAAAAATACATGTGGAAGTAGATCCATGCAGTTCAAACCCATGTTGGCCAAGGGTCAACTGTATAATAATTTTAGTGAGGCAGGCAGAATGAGATAATGAAAAGAGCCCTGATTTAGAACCACTGCACTTGTGTCCATGCTAAACACGGAGACTCAAGCCCCTCATGATAAAATTGTCATGATAAAAATACAGCTCACCCTTTTGTTGTCACCAGAATACTGAGAATATAAGAATATAAGCAAGAATATGCCAGCACTGTGCCTGGCAGAAAACAGATAGTACAATAGTTTGTTTCATGTTTTATTTTCAAAACACAAGTAGGGGCGCCTGGGGGGGCTCAGTCGGTTGAGTGGCGAACTCTTGATTTCAGCTCAGGCTGTGATCTCAGGGTTGTGGAACTGAGCCCTGTGTCTTGGGTGCCCTGGCTCAGTGGAGAGTCTGCTTCTTTCCTTCTCCCTCTGCCCCTCCCCCTGCCTGTCTGCTCTAAAATAAAATGAATCTCTAAAACACACACACACACACACACACACACACACACACACACAAGACAGCTCCTGTCTATATACTGTAAATCCTCCCTGGACACCGCCCCCTCCTCTACCCTCAACACACTCACCCACAGAGAAACTCCTTTTTGGTGCATCAGTTTCTCTGAGAAAATAATTCTATCACTCATAATCTCCCTTCTTTTAATGGCACATAAAATAGTCTAGATAACAGTATTTCTGCCTTATTTCATGCTTTCAATATACAGAAATCACAAGGTGCTATTTAAGTACATGAAAACAGTTTAGAAAAAAAGTTAAAACAAGATAACATTTCAAAAGCAATAAGTATTGAAATAGGCAAGCACAGTATCTTGAGTCAAAGAGTAAATTTGACTCAGGTTTTCTCCAGCCTTCTCTCTCATACAACACAACTGGTAATCTTAAAAAAAAAAAAAAAAAAAATCAGAGCACTGTACCAAACACTCACATGTGGTTTTTTCATGAAGTACATTCTCAGACTGAAATCAGCCTGGTAGCCTTTAAAAATAAAATGGCCTGAGTAAAGCTGTTTCCACTTTGATTTTTTTTTTTTTTTTTTTTACAAAAAACTGACTTAAGAGTAAATGGTCTTTAGTGAAGAGTTCATAGTTGTGAGATACTCGCATTGCCATTAAAAAGTGAAAGCTCCAACCATAGAACCACCAATCTTTGAAGTCAGAAAACGACAGGCGTCTGTCTCTACCTCCTCTCATTTCCTTACAGACCATGGCTCACAATCACAGACGCACAACGGTCCCTTCATTCCTACCAAACCACCCAGGTCCGAAAAAGTGTGAAGCATCTGTCCCTTAAACACCTACAGGAAAGTTGCTAATCAACATCCTTGAGACTCAACACTGAAAGGGCAAATCACAAACTTGTTTCCTAAACCAGAAAGCAGATGCTTCTGGTCCCCAGTGAAACTGAAGGCTCCTCCCACTCACAGAAGAACGATAACGGGTTTCAGTTCTTTCGATTCATTTTTTAGAAGACGAATTTTTAAAAAGCAACTAACTGAGCACACGTGTTCTCCCTTCCACCCTTACATATATTTACAATCCCTCCATTTTTTTCTTCAAGTTAGAGAAGTCCATAATAAGTACACTCGCTTGAAAGGCATTAGGAACTCATTTTGAGGACTGAGGTCTAGAAGACAGGCAGAGAGAGAGGTGAGCAAGCCGAGTTCGGTTGAGTTTTCTTTTTCATTCCTGCACTAGCAGGCAATTACGCATATGTGTTTTCAAACAAGAAAGCCGTTTGGAACGCAAACGATGCAAAGTAATGCGAGGCACAAGAAACGGGCACGATGCAGCTGGCGTGCTCTGTGTCACAAAGGCGGCTCGGGCACAGTACTGAGAGTCTGAGGCTCCCAGCTGCCTCCCATCGCATCCGGTCCCAGGTCCCAAAACCAACGGGCTCGGGACCCGTGAGAGAGAAGCGGACAAGCACTGGGCTCCCCTCTGGGGGAGGGGGGGGCGAGAAAGTGACGGGAGACTGCGGGAGCGCGGGGAGGACGGGTGGCGGGTCCCGCGGAGCGAAAGGACAACGGACCGGGGGTGGAAGGGGGCGATGTGACAAAGGCGCAGAAGCTCCAGTTGCAGCGCAGGCCGAGGGTGGCGACCTGGGCACCGGGGCCGGGGATTAGTGACCCACGGGAGGGGGAGGAGGCTTCCGGGGCCCGCGGCAGATCGCGGCGCGTGAGCCGGCCCGGAGGGGCGCGTGGCCCGGGCGGGGGAGCAGGGCGCGTCGGTCACCTGTATTGTTTGAAAAGCTGGTCCGACTCCCTGAAGCCGTTGTTGAGCAGCATGTTGATGCCAGCCAGGGCCAGCTCCGCGTCCTGCAGGGGTGCCGCCGCCGCCGCCGCGGCCGAGTCTCCGTCGTCCTGCCGCCGCGGCCGCTGCCGCTCCGAGCCCGCCATGGGCGCGCGAGGCTGTGCGCAGGGCCGAGGCGAGGTGGGGCGACAGCTGCTGCGGCCCCGGCGCGCCCGGAGCCCGGCTCTACCTGCCCGGAGCCGCGCGCAGCCGAGCGGGGCGGGGGAGGGGCGGTGCGCGGCTGGGCGGGCCGGGGCGGGAGGAGCCGGGCCGGCTGCAGCGCGGGGGGGGGGACGTGAGAGCCCAGGCCGCCACCTCCCGCCGCCGCGGGGATTACTCAGCAGCCGCCTGCCCGCCTGCTCTTCCCGCTCCCTCCGAGACGCTCCTCTCGCACGGGCACCCAAGTGGAATCCGTTTCCGGGTGTCTCTCACCCCGCCGAGCCGGGACCCGAGCGGCCGCCGCCCCTGCTTCCTGCAGCCCCCACGCGCCGCCCGGGTCCCTCCGGGCCCAGGTCCCCACCCTGCACCCTTCGCCCTGCCGCCCTGGGCCAGCGCGCCGAGCCTGCTCGGACACTCGCGAGGCACGGAGGCCCGGACTTTGACTCTTTCCTCCAAAAGAGCCGGACCCGGGGGTCGCGGGGAAGCAAGCGGGCTTGAAAGGGGGACGGGGAACTGCGCCTGGGACGCAACGACAGCGCACGGCTGGAGACCACCGGGCCGCACCCGGCGCACTCTACCCTAGTGGGTAGCGCCAGAACCCCGGAGCTGCGGGCGCCCGCGACCCCCAACTTTACCCCGACCTTGGGGCCGCCCCCCTAGCCCAAGGTAGCCAATCCCCGAGGAGGTGGGAGGCGGGGGCGGAGCCCGAGGGCACCTGCCGGCCAGCTGCCCGGAGCCCGGCGCTGAGGAATAGAGCGGGGAGGGTCCTGGACCCTGGTACGCACCCTCTCTGGCCGCCACCAACATTTTTGCCCGATGGGGCAAGAGGACAAACGGAGGCTAATGTGGCAAATACCTAAATATTTAAAGTTTATAAATTAAGCTCTTCAAGTGATTTCTATTATTACCCTGACAATTATACTTTCATACCAATGAAACAGAAAAAATAAGTATAAAGCTCTGGTTTATTATATGACCGAATATCAGTAAAATGTCAAAGATGACAGAACTCAGTCATTGCATATGTCTGACTGTTCTAATGATGCACTGGTAATGTCTGCGTGGGTAATATTATGGAGACAATTCACAAGTAATGTTTATGTTTTTCCAGAAATTTCTATTTTTCACCTTTATTTTAGCAAAATCACTGAATATGTTGTGACAATCAAGATTATGTTCTTAATGTCAAATCGGACCACCTTTCTTAAGTCATTGTCGTTCTTATAGTGTGGTTTATTAATTTCAGTTTGGAGAAATGGCTCTGCTGAAGCATTTACAACTGAAACTTTTTAAAAATTAAAGCGATATTCGGGTTTAGAGAGTCACCCATTCACATCCAGCATTATAATGAGGTCAATATGATAAATTAGCGCAGAAAATACTTCAAAAATATTTTATTTCATCATACAAGTTGCTACCACTTATTTCGTGATTTGTGCCATCCCTTACAAGAATATCTAAACCCTATTAAAAAAAAAATATCTAAACCCATAGAGTATTTCCAGCATTCATATACTTAAGATATGTGAATTGCTGTCATTCCTTAGCTGTCATTTGTCAGAACACCGTGCTAATTCTTGAGTACATCTGGAGCCACAAATTGGAACATCAAAAGAAGCAAGAAAATGGATGATTCTCACCTCTGGGAAACAATGCTTTGTAATACAGGAGTCACTGCGTTCATGTGATCTGAAAGGACTTGATAGGTTTGCCAGGTTTTTATCCAAGTACTTTTGGATGCAAAATAGTGTTATAGATTCAAACATAATAATAATAATTATTATAGTAATAATAATAATAAAAAGATTCCAGTATCAGCAGTGCCACAGATCTACATGGCATTCATAGGCTGTAACCTTTGTTTTTAGGACACTGAGCAAGAGATAAGTCACATTGCCTTGTGGTCGGAACATTGTTAATTGTGAGAATGGGTGTTAAGGGTTCTAAGTTCTTTGAAGCCAGCACCCAGTGCCGGATCCTGAGTGACAGAAGTGCACATGTGTTCTTTAATACATTTATGTGTGTGTCTGTATCTTTTACTGGGCCATCTAACGCACGTCTTAGGTACTGTACTGACCATGGGGCTCTTGACAGAGTGTTCCCTGGTCACACATTGCCAGTGGTAACCAGAGCTGACAACATGCCCAGTGCTTATGAGCTGCCTGAACTTTGGATCTGTGGAACCATCTACCCCCTAATCCTGAAACAATCTAGTCGACAAGGGAGAGAAGCCAAGAGGGCAATACCAAACCTAGCAGATAACCTGTCCTCCCCCACCTGGAAAAAGCAGCCATGCCCAGTTCTCCATGTCCATCAAGGAGTTAATGGCCCCGTGGGCATTAGCAAGTTGGATCTGGGACCCAGCAGCTCAGAATGGGGGGTGGGGGATGAGCAAAATCAAAGCAATCTGTCTCAGAAACCTAGTACAAATGGTTACACAGACTTAGTGAAATTTAGCTGTTGAGCAATTGGGGCAAGATCCAGTGCAACTGCCCAGCACCCCATAATAGGTGATATGGATAGAGGATAACTCTGCCATGTAATTTACACCAGATATGTGCCAAATTGGATCTAACCAAATGCCACAATTAGATTAGCAGCAGCATCTTGAATGGACATTTTCAAATATTTGCTCTACAATGAGGGATACAAAGAAGATTCAAAACGGGGCTCACAACCCGGAAGTGAGGCAATATGTGACCCAGTAATTAGATCTGTAACAGCTGTAGTTGGCACTGACACCTGCCCAACATTTACACCTGGCAGGTAGCGAATGAAGGCTGCTCATGTTTTCTTCACTAGATAACAATGGCAGATAATGATGGATGTTTAAGAGGTCAAAGTGTATATTACCTACAAAAGGAAGGAAAATCTAGATTACCAACACGTTAGGGCGCCATACACTTGAAATGGTAAGATTCTCAGCACGCATTTGTTGCACTGAAGGCAGTCTTCAGTGCACTTGGCTGCAGCCTAATAGGATTTACCCAGTGTTCCCTTTGGCAGGAGGAAGGAACAAAGGAGAGGGAGAGAGAGGGAGAGGAAAAGCTCTCAAATGGAGGAAAAAAAACGATTTTCTTTCTACATACCTCTTGTGGGTATTATCAGTATTTTGTGGTTCTTCATGAGGTTTCATTGTGCAAATGAAACTCCAAGTCTAAATTATTTGTGAAAAGTTTTAGATGTGTCCTACTTTTTACATGGTAGATTTTTTGTAAGTTAAGACGTCTTGATGGCAAGTAACAGAAAAATCTGACCCAAATGGCCCAGAAAAGCAAATTTGTTGGTTCGTAAAGGGGATTTCCCAAAAGGAGGCTGGGCCACGGCTGCAAAACAGTGACTTGGACCCAATTTCTCCACCTTTCTACCCCACAGCTCTGCCACTTTGGTGCTTGGTGGGTCTATTCATAGGCCCTTCTGTCCCAGTACCCAAAAAGCTAGAAGTTTCCCGGGGCTACCCGCTTGCTTTTTCACATCCAGTAGCAGGGCATTACATTTTCAATGCTTAACCCCAAATCCCCTAACTGAATCTCATTGGCTTTCAGTGGCTTTCAGGGTGCTCATTTTTTTTTTTGTTTTGTTTTGTTTTAAGATTTATTTATTTGAGAGAGGGAGAGAGAGAGAGCAGGGGACAGGGGGAGAGGGAGAGAAGGAGATTCCCAGCTGAGCACGGAGCCCAATAAGGAGCTGCATTCCAGGACCCTGAAATCATGACCTAAGCCAAAATCAAGAGTCCAATGCTCTACCAACTGAGCCACCCAGGCACCCCCGGGTGCTCATTCTTGAACCAATCAATGTGGTTAGAAGGAGGTGGTTTATTATGACTGGATTAAGCCAATCAGAGCCTGCTCCAGGATCTGGGCAGTGAAACCAATTCCACCGCTGGGAAATTCTAGGCCCGCTAAGAAAAGGAATGTAGGAGATGGTTGTCAGAGGGACAACTAGCAACATTGCCTACTCTTGTCTTCTTAAACATGTTTTGAGTTTTTGGAATTGTGGTTTTAAATGCATTTAGAGAACATACTACCTTAAGAAGTCTTGTATGTGCTTAGGTCATATTAACATTTTTTAGGAATAGTAGTAACCATGCCTTGATGTATCTTTCTGTAAACCTGCACCACCAGTTGAAATAAATATAGGTTCCCAGAATGTCTGGAACTCTAAAATGGAGGAGAGCTGAGAAATTAATGTTACTGCATTTTCATGGTGTGTTATAGCTTTGCTATCAAACTCAGCCCTGTCACTCTACCGGAGGTGAGAGAAGATTGAGTTAACTGCTTTTAATCAAAAAGCACATCAAGTCAAGGGTTGACATGTAAAACTGTAAAGCAGGTTCCTTCCTTTTTTCTGGCCTCTAAGGAGAGAAGCGCGTGGTAGACCCAAGGGGATCCACCTGGCTGTTTCTCCAGCAGGGTGGATGCCTCCAACAGACACTCGCACTGCCCTGCAGACCACAGTGGTGATCACGAAGCAGGAAACTATCCCCTTCAGACTGGATGCCTTTTCATCTGCTCTTCCCCAAACCGAATACCCAATGGACATAATATAGGTTTAAGCAGGTGTTTACTAGAGGTGAGATCATGGCTCTGCTGCTGTATAGATTTGGAGGCACGACTGGGGAAGGCATCATGTCCTTCCTCCAGTGGCTTAAACCCCCCTCCCCCCAGGTAAGTCAGTCAAGCAGTGAGGCCTCCTGCCCAAGTCCTGGATTATGATGTGTTGGAGTGGGAGCTCAGCTCCTCTCTTGGTCTTCACAGAGGTTCTCTCTTTCCTTCTCTTTCTCCCTTCCCGTTCCTTTACATTTCCTTCTGCATCCCTTGCCTTTAACCTGCCTCCTTGCTTTTCACTGACAATTGCTGCTCCCTAGATCTACCACCCTCCCTACTCCTTGCAGAAATATTCAAGTCTCCCTCTCCCTTCGTACGTTCTCATGATTTGCACATTTTGC